ACGAGGTGGAGTTGGTGTCATGGCCGTTGCTGGACAGCGCCGGGGAGGACAGAGACGACGACTTGAGGCCTGGACTGGGTGTGCTCAGAGTCCTCGTGCTGGAGTCCAAACCTGAACCGCCGAGACAACGCGGAGACGACAAAACCAATCAAAGATCGTTTGGATATTCAACACAAGAGTCGACAAAGCCTTCTGTGTGTGGGAAATTTCCTTGTCGTGTTTTAAAATACTCGACCACCAAAGATGATTGGGATTTGAGCGATTAAGTCATCAGAGACCCAACGGCGTTGCGGGCCTCTGGGCCGCCCGTCAGCCGGGTTGTACGCCGCGCGTCAGCGTCCGCCTGACGGATGGACGCCACGCTGGCCCTAATGTGGATTTGTGTGTCGGTACTGTCAGCGGGACAGCGACATACTTCTTGCCAGATCGCTATTCCAGACCCGGACTCCATCTCGGCGTCTGATGACATCCGCAGACACTTCTGGAACATGTTACCTGATTCGAGGCGGAGATCTTTTTAAAAAAAAGATCTCTGCTGAGCCTTAAATCTCATGTCCAAGTGTCGGCAAAGTGAGCTCTGGTCACTTTTATACGGATTCTTGGAAAATGGGCAAAGTCGACCTGGCGTTTTGCCTTTCTTTCAGACTCCAAGAAGGTGTAACATTTGCGCAGGCGTGCCCAAGTCCAGTCCTTGAGAGTCTCTCTCCAGCCTGTTTTACATGTCAACCATGATCAGCTCATTAGCGAGCTCTGATAAACCTGATGATGAATCGGGTGAGGGTGGGCGGAGACAACCAAAACTGGATAGGAGCTCCCGAGGACCGGACTCGTGCATGTCAGAGAAACAACCACGCACGAAAACTTCACATGGTGCGCCTGAAGTCATTTCATCCATCCATCCATTTTCTAATCCGCTTGATCCTCACAAGGGTCGCGGGTGGGGTGCTGGAGCCTGTACGTCTTCGGGCAGTAAGCGGGGGACACCCTGAACCGGTTGCCAGCCAATCGCAGGGCACTCACAGACGAACAGCCATTTTCGCTCACACAATTTCGAGCGGACAATTTCGAGCGTTCAATCCGCCTGCCATTCATGTTTTGGGAATGTGGGGGTAAACCGGAGTACCCGAAGAAAACCCACGCAAGCAAACAGGGAGGCCGGAGCTGGAATTGAACCCAGTACCTCCGCACTGCGAGGTCGACACGCTAACCACTGGCCCACCGGGCCGCCCAAGTCATTTCAACGTTCTTTTAATAAGATCCGTCGCTACATATCTGCATGTCAATGAAACCCAGCGGCAAGACGAAAAGCCCCAAATGGGATGAACAGACGAGCAGAGTTTTCACAAGACAGTTTTTTTTTTTTTTTTTAAGTTTTTGGTCTCCATAACGACAACTGATGAGGAACATGTGATGTGGCCGAGAGGACGTTGACTTCATTCAGGAATAAACTCACTGGAATCCGTGCGCGTGTGTTGACGCACATGCTGGACCGCTCAACGTGCAGCAGGAAATCGGAGGAGAACGAGTCAAACATCTGGTCTTTACCTTGGACGCGGAAGCGGGCGGGCGGCGGCGGTGGAATGAAAAGGGCCGCTTGGCGTGCTTTCTCAATGCGCGTGAAGCCACACGAAGGCATGCTCGGGGGGGAAGCTGGAACCATTTGCCCACTAATACTCAAATCGGATCCGCGGCGGGGCAGCAGGAGTCGATTAGCGTCAAGTTAGCCGCCGCTTGGCAGCGCCATCTGGATGGCGCTTTGATACAATTGGGGGTCTTGTGTAAATCAATCCGGGGGTGTGATCGCTTGAAGAAGTGCAGCAGGAAATTTGGATTTTTAACCCCTTAGGTACTGTTTATTTTCTGTGGACGCAAAGTACGTTCCCGGATCAATTTGGAGTTGTCGAAATGATAATTGTAAGCGACAGATCTTTTTTTCAACTTCCTACAAATACTTTGAAGCACCTCTAGATAAGATACACATTTAAAAACCTTCTTTTGAGTGAATTTTGCGATCACTTTAGAGAACCGAATCAAATTTCAAAGTGGAGAAAAAAAATGCATTGATGTTATTTTATTTCGGTGAAATGCCTAAGGGTTAAATTAACTAAAGATGGCGACGAATGAAGAAGCTACGGGGATGGTCGGGACTGTTTGCGGTTGTCATAAAAGACGTGAGAGGAAAAGGAAGGAAGCTTAGTTGGCAGGCGCGCTTGCAGATTTTAGCAGAGACGGAGACAAGTGCACGGGCAGTGAGACTGCAAAGCCAAACTGCAGGGATTCTTTTCAGGCCCGGCCAGCGGAGTCAAGTAGACGGAGCTGCCAGGTGGGAAGTTTTCAGCTCGCTTGTTAAAAAAAAAAAGGACTTGGAGCAACTCGTAGAGGGGTCAGGCTTCGATCAAGGAAGAAATCGTTTCACTTTGTCGGAGATCCACCCGGATTTGTGGCGCAATACGGACACACAATCGACGGCAGTTGACCACGTTGACCATGTGAATTGACAACCAGCGACCGAACTGGGGAAGAAAACCTCCGACTGACAATTACGAACATCTTGCACCGTAAGAGCGAGAAAATAAAACAAGCTAAACTCCCGTTAGTCCATGCAACTCGACTCCAAAATTTAAAAAAATCTCATCACAAACAAATCGCTACTCCGTGTCAGCCAGTTTTCCTTTTCAGCCTGCCCTTCAAAATAAAACTTCCATTCCGACAAGAAGGTGGAGAAAAATAAAAATGTCCAAGAGGATAGCAAAGCGAGCAGGGAAAAACCGCCACCCTGTACTCGGCGGTTCGCGCGATAACCAGCGTGACTAATTTTCAACCCATGTGTGAAAATGAGGCGTCGATTTCTGTCAAAACAAACATTCGGCGAAGGTTGGGAAAGAAAACATGCAGCGAGGACCCCTGGCATGCAAAACAAAACCCCACGGCCTGCCTTGGATTTTAATTGAATACGTGGAAGTCCATGTTAGCATGCAGTGCGGCGGCCGCGCTATCAGCAAAGCCTTCACGACAGGAAGCGCTTAGGTCACCGCACAAGTCGGAGGACAATAGGCGCCGCTGAATGCCGGCGCTCGGACAGGAAGCGGACCGGGCTCTTGCTTCGTGCAACCCCCACAGCCCGACCTTCACCCGGGCCACAATTCTCACACTCGTTCAACCCCCAACGAAAAGGAGAAGTAGAAAAAGAGCTTTGTCATGACAAACAACGATCCCCAGACGCCAAAGGTCCGACCACCCGTGACAAAAAACTTGTTACCTCTCGCTTTTGAGTGTGTGACGTCAGCAGCCGTGTCCTCGCTAGGAAAAAAATAATGCCCCGCGCTGTATGGCATCGAAAAATATAACCTCCTCCGTCGGAGGTAATGACACGCTAGCACTTTGCTCCCCGGCACCGCCGCGCCTAATTACAAACCCCACGGCGGTTCTGGTGGGGCTGTAAAAAGATTTAATATGCATTCAACTCGTAAACATTTGGGAGCCCTGTTTGGGGAAATGTGTGTTAAGCTAATTACAAGATGTAGCTTCTGTCGTGTCGTCAAGCCCGGGAGGTGTCAATCAATCGCGACGAGGGCTTAAACTGCCCTGACGACGAGAACAAACATCCCCCAGTTGGTCCTAAACACAGGTTGTGTACCGAGTGTTAAATAGTACATTACCGTATTTTCACGACTATAGGGCGCAGTTAAAAATCTGAAATTTTCTCCAAAATGGACGCCTAATCTCGTTCTAAAACCTGTGAATGTTGCTAGGTGACTACCACGAGCGCGTCGCTTGACTATCTGTTCTTACGCAGACATCTTCATTTCAGATACAGAAGATGAGGATCTGGATGGATTTGTGGAGGAGGATTGATCCAAAAAAAATCATGTGAGTACATTGTTAAGTCCTTCCAAGTACCACCGAACTCAGTTTTGCTTCCGTTGCCTTTTTAAAAACATGGGTGAGCCTCCCTGCATGCTAACGTAATTTTTTTAAGCTTGCATACGTTTTAAAACATGGGCTACCCTCCCTGCATGTTAACGTAATTTTTTTATGCTAGCATACATTTTAAAACATGGGCTAGCCTCCCTGCATGCTAGCTTAATTTTTTTAAGCTAGCATACATTTTACCATGCCTGCGTCCAATAATACAGTGTATGTACTAAATACAGAAATAGCACCTGTAACTGACACTGCGCCTTTTAATACGGTACGCCGTATGATCGTGAAAATACGGTATTTAAGGTGGGGGTGGGGGGGGTCTTAAGAGTCCGTTTAGCTTGTCCGTAGCAGCCAAAACAACGCAGGTGCTCCACAGACCAAATCTGAAAAGAGGCTGGCGAGAATTACAGTCAGAGGCGCCTTTCCCAGCTCCCCTCTTGTCACCAACGTGAAAAATGGGACTACAAAAAACACCAAGGCCGCCTCTTCTTCAACAAGACTTAGTGCTACTCCTCCTCTTTCACAAAAACAACTTCTCTCCTCTTCTATTTTTCCTTGCTTCTCCCTTCTCTGCTCTGACTTCTCCAATGGAAGCGAGCAAAGCTGATGGGAGAAAATCTTGGGGGGCCCGGGGGTGGGGGGATAACTTTGGGTTTCATTTCCTCTCTGCGTTCTCTGGACACCAACTTTCCAAAAACGTTTTCGAAGCAAATTCTCGGAATGATGGGCATAATAATTTTGTGGCTTTAAATCGAGAGAATGGAGTCGACATCACGATTCCTTCTTAAACCCGCATTGGTAACCCAAATTCAAATTGACAGTACAGTCAATCCCCGTTTATTGCAAGGGGGACACGTTCCAGAACCACTCAAAATAAATGACTAGAAAGACCAAATAAAATCTTTTCGAAATAGTTTTATCCCGGTCCTTTAACCACATTAAAAAAATCGTAAATCTTTTTAAAGTACTCATTGTGTCTGTTCTCATTCCCTCCCTGGCAAGCGATTTCAAATGAACCATGGGCACGACAGTTCTTACCAAATCGCAAGAAAAAGGAGGAAGCGGATGATGTGGAAGTGGCACCAAAATGAACATGTTTGAACCAAACACCTGGCGACGGCCGTCCTTCGGTAACAGCCACTTCAGCGACGCCGACGCCTCCGTGACAATTTGCCCGCACAGCTGCGAGCCCAGCCGAACACATGCGAACGCGCATTAAGTTCCACTCCACAAAGATGCATTTGTCACGCTCGGCGGCTCAACATGGAGGCAGATGCGGACCTCCTGGTGAAACCGCGAAAAGTCGCACTTACATCTTTGGTCCCAAGCGCCTTCCCATCCAGGAATTTTTTTTCTATCTATCGTATATTGCTCAATCAAAGGGTGAACATGGAGACCCTTCGATAGTGGAAACATAAATGACCAAATAGTACTCCTAGGGGGACACCATCTTACCATTGATCGTACCCTCAAAGGTAAGAACACAACTGAATTTTCTAAACCTAGTAAAGGTACAAACCATTACCTCGAATCCCGATGAGAAGCTTTTTCGGGTCCATTAGCAACCCAATATAAACTCCAACTCACTCAAAAATTTAGGGGACCATAGGACTGGGTGGGCGACGACTGTGCGATCCGCACACGTGTGCGTCTACTCTCGGAACACTGTGTGTATGTGTGTAAGTTCTTAACAAGGAGGGGGGAAGTGAGGGGGGGGTGGGGGGCGACTGCGGCAGCGGTGGTTGCAGACCATGTAATTACTGCCACTTAGCGTGGAGAACAAAATAACACTTTCAGTCATAACTCAAGAGGGGAACGGCGCTCCTGAATCTTTCGCTAAATGGTCGATGGACCGGAATCTCCCCGTGGACACATCCACAAGTACGGCGAAACCTCAGTTTCTCTTGGGCTATCCGTACCCGACCCTCCCTTGATAGGTGACTATCAGCAAAATGCTGTCGGTCGGTAAGGGGGAACCATCTGGTCCTGCGGGCTACCGATGGGGTCCTTGGGGGGTGGCCCCTGATTTAACCACTTATTAACACACAAACTGCATCGAGCAGTGTAGGAGGGACAGTTTATATTGCCGTCTCGTACTGTTGCCGCCGATATCAACGCAATGTCATCCTGAATTAAGGATGCTAAGTTTAAAAAAAAAAACCCGATTAATCACGTCGACTTAGACAGTGCCAGTGTTAGCATCTAGCTAGCCGCTAAGGGCGCATCCCAAACGCCGGCAAGAGCTGTCGGACTACTTTTGAAAGGCACTTAAAAGGCAAAAGGGATTCCGCGAGTGTTTGCTGACAGCCCGACACAGTTGCAGTTAATTCCAAAATATTTCATAGCTGCAGCCTTACTTCATATTGATACTGACCCATGGAGGACGGGCCGCAAATGGCCCCCAGGCCATAGGTTGGGTAGCTAGCACTCTCTTCACTGAAGCTATCGTGCATGTTTTTGGCAATGTGGGAGGAAGCCGGAGTACCCTGAGAAAGCAGTGACCATTCCGTGTTTGTGATATTTGCCTTGCGTTACCTTTCCCGTGTCCGTTTACAAAGTCAGTATTGCGATTGAAGTCCTCGGACTAACAAATTCCTGCGAGTGTGTGTTCGAATGAGGGTCATCCCAGGAACACCCGGGTTCCTCTTCCCAAAATAGGCAGCGCCAAACGTGGATGAGGAGGAAAGAGAGGGCCGGTGGGAGGAGGCATAGAAGAAGAAGCAGAAGAAGGAGGGGAGTGGGGTTTAATGAGCACCAGATGCTTTTACCTTCGCTGGGAGTCGCATTCTTGGGAGCTTTGGTGGGCGTGTGATCGGTGCTGGAACTTATGTCAGACGAGATGCTGGAGCTCCCTTTGCCTGCCGGAGGAAACAGAACAGAGTGACAGCTTGAGGATGACAAACCATTTTCTGGTCTTGTCATGTCCGCCTGCTTGTTTTATCGCTTTTTTGACACCTATGTCACGTCGGCTTGGCTTTCTACTCGCGGGCAAATTTGATACTTGGAAGCAGAAAACAAACCGGTTGAATGCCTTTCAGCCATCCTCACGACCAGTCAATGTGTTGAAAAAAAAAAAAAGATGATTGTGGTACTTTTTAGCTCATTGCAGTCCTTCTGCCAGATGGAAGTGCTTCACATCACGGCCTTTGGAATTTACAGCTCGGAGCTGCAACCAAGTTGAATGACTTTGTCATTGTACTTCGTCATTGTGAAGTAAAAAATCATGTAAACATTTACACTACACTCATAGCGGGCAAACCCCCGTGAATTACTGAAGCTATGGTGGAATATTCACCCCCCCAGTAAAAAAAAAAAAAAAAAAAGCCCATGTCATGTTTGCCAACAGCTTAGCATAAGGCTAGCAAACAGAAGCACAGCGGAGAAGTGGCGTGGAATTAGAAATTTATACTCGGCATGTACGTTTACCAAAAAAAAAAAAAAAAAATCTAATCCATAACACTTAAATGTTATATTACCAGTCCATGACAAATTCGTCACTCACGCTATGAACGTGGCTGCCGTGGCTAACGTCGGCCTGTTTACTGTGCTAATGCTAGTATAGTGTTGCTAGTTATTTTGGCTAATTTTGTTCAAGCTGGATATTCGTTCTCCGCGACAATTTATCACGACTTTGCACTTTCTGTCCGTACATTTAGGACTTCCTAAATGGGGAATGTCTTTTTCTTTTTTTTTTTTTTAACAGGGGTAGTTGTACTTCTACTTCTTTTGCCACCTCTTTTGAGCTTAGCTTGTATTGTGCTGCTTTAGCCCGAGCTCGTGGACGAGGAGACTTTGTCCACCACGCAGACTCCCTGTCTGTCTGTCAGCTTGTTGTTTATGGGATTTCATTCCTCTGGCGGGATCATAAATGCAGCCCTGTGGCTTTCCCGACACGGAGTACGCGCCTCTCAGCCGGCACGACAGACTGGTGACGTTCGGCCCCACGACCGGCCCTGAAAGCAAAGCGATGCTACCAAGGCGCGCCGGTTGGACTGCAAATTGGGGCTTTCTGTTGATGGTACCAAGTCAGGTGAGGCCTGTTGATTGTTGCCTGGAAACTAAACCGGGGAAAGAAAATGTGCTTCCCAATGCTCGATGATGAAAGCAAGAAGACAAAAAAGGTGTGGAGATGAACTGCCTCTCGCAGTGACATCACAAGGCAAGGAACATGTTGCCGCACTTGAGTCCAGCTGTGACTCAAATAGGCACGGCCCCCCCCTTTTTTTTTTGTGGTCACATCCAGGCAGAAATGATGCAACCAGAGAAAACTTTGTCTAATATTTTCGCCCAGTATGACTTTTCTCCGCCCTGCAGCGAGGAGCTCTGCTGGGAGCTTGTGGCTTTGCGGATTCGTGACAAAACCGATTGTTGTGCGTGTGTCCTTTCGTTGTCGAAGGAGGGAGGGAGGCGGACGGGAGAAAAGTTGCTTTTAGCTCACAAAAGACGGTACACCACTCATACTTCAGTGCTCTCGTTCAAAAAAAAAAAAAAATGCGGGAGAGGGGTGTGTACTCACTTTCGTGAGATATTGTATGTGTTGTGCGTTCCGGTGTAGCAGAGCCGTTGACGAGGATGATTAATTGCCAAGTCACACTTGAGAACAGATGTGGACAGACAGGGCCGGAGCCCTTGAAGTGTTTTGATGATAACGAGAACTTATTCCTTCCTTCGCCTGTCACTCATGACATTAGTCATTTTGATGTCGTACAACGGTAAATGTCACACACATTTAATAGCAGGATTACACTAAAACACAAAAAGTACCGGTTGCTAATTTGCTTTAGCCTGTCAATGGTGTTTCGCATGATAGGTTAGCATTAAGCTAGCAGACTTTTTTTTTTTTTTTTTTTTAATGGGGTGTGTGCGTGTGTGTACAGTTGTACAGGTAAACTTCAACAAGCGACATTCAGCTTTCTATGACATGGCGACGTCATCTCTCCAAAAGTTATCGTGAAGGAGTCGCAGTTTTTAAGTGGAAATATCCCAAATGGGGACACCAGGTCTGACATCATCATGGCGGACGTCCACCCCCTGTCCTCCTTTTGCCGCCGCTTTGGTAAGGCGGCCCATTTTTAGACTGCAGGCGAGGCTGCCAAACTGAGAGCTGCGCACGGGTTTACACTTGTTGACACGCGCTTTGATGGATTGCTCTCTGTGGCTTTTAGGATTTTTAAACTCACGAAGCGAGCATCAGCTCATAAACGGGTCATGTCGTAACTGGACTTGGCGGGGATCGAGTCCAGTTTTGGGCGACCCTCCGGGCCGGGCCAGTTCCTTGGGAACACTGTGTGGCCGCGCTGTTATTTTAAACATCACAACTTCCAATCTTTTTCTCCGCCGATATTGACTTAGGACGGGATCACGCTGGAATGTTATTTATCCAAACATTTTGGCTGGGCGGACAGAAATAACGCGGCCCGACGTTTTGTGGGGAGTGAGTCTACGTTTGGAAGATTAGGCCTTTGAGATAATAACGTGGAGGTGAGGCTGACATTTCAGGTTGGGAGATTGTATCGCTGTTGTGGAATGGGAGTCTGGGATTGGAGTTATCACAAAATCCACGCTTACAAAAAAAAAAAAAAAAAAAAAAACAGTTTCGAGTCACTCCCGAGATTTGGGCTGCATTCCATTTAGGTGAAGCACTTTCCCTCTGTTTATCTGCACGTTGGAGAAAGTTCTCTCGGGTCATCTTAAGTAGGACGAAACGGCATCGGTCCCCGACCACAAGAACTGGTTTGTGGGCCGGTTGATGAGATCAGCATAGCTTTTGAGTTGAGGATAAAGATTAGGGGGTGAATCGACACGTTATACGGGAGAGAAATGCCAACCCGTTGGAAGTTGGACAAGTTTAGGCATCTGATGCTCGAATGGAA